AATAATAATAATAATAATAATAATAATAATAATAATAATAATAATAATAATAATAATAATAATAATAATAATAATAATAATAATAATAATAATAATAATAATAATAATAATAATAATAATAATAATAATAATAATAATAATAATAATAATAATAATAATAATAATAATAATGCAATAACAATAACAGTAGCAATAATAATGGAATTACAACAACCCATAAAACGTGATGATGATTCATCTTGAAAATAAGACGAATCATTATCATCGTTACACGAAAACTTTGTTTTTCATGCTTCGGGATTTCTCTCACTACTTATATAGTTTAAGATGCTTTTCAAACAATGTTTATCTTCCTCAAAATGTTAATCGATATAACCATTCATGTTTCGAAAATTCCCTTGTTCTAATTATGCCTTAATTATTACTTTGGTTTCACTTTCTTTCTCAATCAATTTTATGCGTGATTTCCGTTATCCCAAAAGATGAATTCTTCAATGAATACTAATTCGTTATAGAAAAAACAGAAACAAAAATGGAAAGCAATAAATATTATGGGGACAAAAACATATCCCCGTCATATCACGAAGATACAATCGGAGAAAAATGGAACATAGAGGAATCAGCCAATATACTGAAAATAAACTGATAAGCAAAAAAAGGAAAAGCATAATAGGACTAATCAAAATATTAATTGAGGAAAAAGTAAAACAGACGGGACCGTCCCCCAAGTGATCAAATATTATACGGCCACGGACAATAGATGGATAGCTTTCCTTTAAAATCCATTAAATTTCATTCTTTTGAAGAGTAATGGGACATTTAGACCGTAAATCGGTCTTAAATCCAGTACTGATGAATCTAGAAAGCTAAGGCTTAGTCATAAGCATTAAATAACCTAACATTATTTAACTTTGACCCTTATTGTATGCCTCATTTTATTGAATCATATAGAAGGTTTATCTTGCCTATTCCTTTGTTTGTTTCCTTGATTATTACTAAAACAGATAGATAACACAACCATATTCGGTTACACTAATTATGGCCATAAACGAAATTGTGATAGCAATGTAGCATTACTGCCATTTATAATTGAAATCTGGCAGTATATAAGATATAGTAATTCTATACACTTATTGATAACGATTATCAAAATTACCACTGCCAATAAAAGATGTGATAATTGAAAAAAAGAACCAAAACATGCTTTCAATTATTTCACTTTAAGATGCTATTCCTAGGTAGCAGCAATAAATTTACAAATCAAAATTATTAGGAATTTAATTATCATCTTTAAATCACGACTAAAAAAAAAGGAGGATTTGACCGTAATTTATTGAAATAGTAATATGACAAAGAACTGCCTGAAAACTAAGCGAGAGCAGACATAACAACTTCCTAAGGTTCACAGTGACCCTTATGAATCCATTTATATATTGAACACTTGACCTCACTATGACCTCGACATCAACATCGATCAATATGGTGCTAGCAGAGTGTACAATGGTAAGAGTGTACGGACGGCAATAAACGGTAATTATAAAGTTCATGACAATAACAAACAGCACATTTACCGCATTAATCACTCACAAAATCTTTTAGTTAACTTATCATCATCAAAAAGTAAGTGGCCGAAAAAAAAGACTAAGTGATATAAAATATTCGTAAAGAAATAAAAGAAAAAAGAAAAAATGAGAAAGTATAGAAATTGGGAAAGATATGGGCGAGGTAAAGAGAGACAGGAATAAATTGAGGAAAAAAAACAAAAGATGAAAATTTTTGAAAGATCAAAAATTCTTAAGTACTAATTGTGATTTCGAATTTCTAATCTTTCAGTAACGATTGAATTGATTAAAGTGTTCGGTTGAATTAATTCCAATCCCAGGTTTAGATTGATGTGTATGTGTGTGCGTGTATATATATGTGTGTGTGTGCGTTGTGTGCGTGTGTGTGTGTGTGTGTGTGTGTGTCTGTATCTGTGTCTGTGTCTATATGTTAATTTCATCGCTTCTAAACCATTCACACTTTTTTCTTGCTAATTATGTTAATGAGATGAGTTGTTGTTTAACGTTGTGATTGAATGATCTAATTGGAAATGTATATGTACGATAGAATTTTAAATCGCATTTCATATTTCAATATAAATATATGATAAAACTTCTGATATGATTAAATGATTAAATTTTATTCGTAAGTAGAGATTAACACGTTTTTTTTTGCTGTAATTTGAATTCATTCATTCATTTAATTACTCATTTATTATGTGAATTATTCAATTAGTAAATTGAAGTGAAAATTATTAAAAAAGTAAAATAAAAATTAATTACGGTAAAAATTATTCAATTAGTGGAACAACGATGAAATTCAGCTAATTAATCTATTTTATTGAGTTAATTGCTGCAAGTAAAATTAATTTTTTCATCATAATTTTATGAAACGATGAAAATTTTGTGATTAATTAGTACATAATTATACTTTTTTATCAAACATTCTCGTACCATATATTATTCTTTATTTTTTGTTTATTTTAATTTGATTATTTATGTATATCATATCAATAATCGTCATCGAGATATCCATGTATGTGTGTGTGTGTGTGTGTGTGTCTGTCTGTCTGTCCGTGTCTGTGTGTGAGTTTGTATGTATGTATGCATGTAAATTTCTAAAATCGTTTGAAATTTCTAGAAAATTCCTGTTATTTCAGAAATTAATGAAATGGAAAGAAATGAGGAGAAAAGAGAAAAAGGAAATGATATTGTTGAAACGACAAGGAGAAAAATGGATGATTCTAAATTAGCCTATGAAACAATTGAAAATATCATCGTTGATAACGAATCAACAATAAAGTCATTCAAAAAATTGCCAACTGTAAGAAAAGAATTTGAAACATCAATTAAATGCAATAAAGCAAAAGTATGCTTTTTTTTTGGAATTCTTAAATATTTTTATACGAAATAATCAATGATGATGCTAATGTCAGAAGAATGATATAATGAATGAATGAAATTAAAAAATGTCAAAGTTCAACTGTGCTGTTCATTCCTAAGTACAGAAATATTTTTTTGAAGTAATTGAATGATTCCTGCTCAATATAATACTTGAATAATCGAAAAACTGTGTTACTAAGTTCCTTCTCCGATAATAGCACATATTTTGAAATGAATGAAAATTCCTGAAAACTTTTTTTCACTATGCATTAAAAAGTATTCAGCACATGATATAAATAGTCGAAAAACTTCAAAACAATAATTTAGCATTATTTTATGCTAAATTATTACGCTATTATAAACAAACTAATAACTACAATTTGGTAAAAGCAGTTTAGCAGAATAAGAAATTAATAATTTGAAATTGTTTAATTGAAGTTTTAACAAATAAATTAATGGTAGGTAAAGAAATGGCTTATTTCGGTGATAAATCGTCTTACGAAGGAATGGAAGCCAAAATTATGTCAATCGTTATTTACCGAAAAAGAACTGATCGAATTATGTTATCGAGCTAGGGAAGTATTTTGGATGCAACCTACTCTTGTAGAAGTAAAGTTTTATTCTTTTTTCCCTCTTATTTTTCATATCGAAGTATATCTGAATTTTTTTATTTTTTGATTTCCATACGAAATATTTTAAGCAGTCTTGCGAGTTTTCAATTACTTTTTTGTTTTTCTAACAGATTAATTAAAATACGCTCGTAAATATATATATTAATGAATTGATAAAATGATTCGTAAGATATTTGCATATAAAATAATTAATTGATTTAATTGGGGATAATTGGAAAGGATTACAGATTTATGAGAGAAACAAACGGATGCAATTTAAGAAATGAATTCATTCAAAGAAAAAAGAAAGTTAACAAATTCTTCTAATTAATAAATCTGCAAAATATCCGTTGAAAAGAAGAAGTTAATGAAAACTATTGGGTAATGTTGATGATAATAATATTAATCTTTTTTTGAATTGAATTTTTTAAAATTTTTTAGCCTAGATTGCCAATAACAATTTGTGGTGATATTCATGGACAGTTTAAAGATTTATTAGCACTTTTTATTCTTTATGGCTTTCCACCTGATCGACGATATCTTTTTCTTGGTGATTATGTTGACCGTGGTCCATTTTCCATCGAAGTTGTGACACTTTTATTTGCTTACAAGGTAAATTGCACAAAAAAAAAGGAAACAAAGAAAGGAAAATTTATAATTAAATTGTTTCATTTTGAAATTTAAAGGAAAAAGATAATCGTTTATTTCTATTTCTTTAGTATTTATTTTAAAAAATTTTACAAATTCTGCATTAGTCTTTTTTGTCACAATAATAAATCAATGCAATTAAAAATGAATTGTCCACAGTTGAAAAAAAAATCAACCATAATATTTTGACAAGTTAAATTATTACCACCAAAAAATATAATCGTATTTTTTAAAGATACTTTATCCACGTGACATTTATCTTCTACGTGGAAACCATGAATCACGTTATATTAATCTTAGATACGGATTCTATGATGAATGTGTATTGAGGTATAAAAATAGAACACTTATTTTTCCGACTAAATTCAAATTTTATCTTTTAAGGAATTTTGAAAAGACTGATTATATCAGTTTATATTGCTAATAATTATCATTTTAGTTATTTCATTATCATCATTATTATAATCTCAATTATATCGTCACTATGAAATAATTATAATCATTCCCATCTTTATTGCTTAATTATTACAATTATGATTATTATCAACAATAAATTGTTATTACCACTAATTGAAATGATCATTACTAGTAAACTGTCATTGCAATCGTTTATATTTATTTATTAGCATTAATAAATTCTTATTATTATACTTTATGAATAATTATTATCATTATCAATAATTTGCTATTAATATCAATTGAAAAAAAAATCATTACCGTGAATGATATATTATTATTACTGTCAGCATTAGAAACGATCATTACTAATAAATTCCAATTATTGATAGTTTAAAAGAACCATTATCAATCAAAAAGTTATTATCATTTAAAAAAAATTATTATCATTCAATTATTATTATATGTTATGCTTATTGTTATCTGTAAATGATTATACTTCATAAAAGATTTCATCCACTCATTGATTGCTTTATTATCTTCTTAATTACAACTAGTTCATCAATCAAATCATTTTATCATTCATTTTTCATTACTTCATTGTAATACAATAAGTTATTTCAAATATTCGAATGAATTATTTGACAAATTTCAAATGGCATTTTTTTGCATGCCATTTTGTGCACGAATACAAAAACGAATTTTATGCATGCATGGTGGAATAAGTGAAGATTTAACAGAAATTGCACAGGTAAACCGGAAATTTACCGGAGCATTATTTAAATAGCCTGTTAAGATGATAATGGAAAATTATAAAACAAAGATTTAAAAATTAGGAGTTACGGTCCAGTCATAGTTTGATTAGGTAAAATAAGAAAGTCATAGCAATTTTAATAAATAATCTTTATTTCATTGAAAGTGTAAGACTCATAATGTGAAATTATATTTTAGAAAATTTCAAACCTTACGTTTTATTTGCTTTTTTCAAATTCGAAATCCAAATTTTAATTGGTTTATTTTAAAACAATTAATGAAAAAGTGGCAAAATTTCGACCATTTCGTTATTTTTCAAAAAAATTTCAGTTGGAACGAATAGAACGGCCATGCGAAATTCCGGATTTAGGCATACTAACCGATTTGACATGGTCTGATCCAAGTTATTATGCAACTAATTACGATTATAATAATAGACGAGGAGTTGCACGACTATTCAGTATTAATGCTGTAAAAGAATTCTGCAAAAAACTTGGCTTAGATATGATTGTGCGAGCACATCAGGCATACACCTATATTCATTAATTACCTTTGAATGAAGCGCCAACATTAAACAAGTATTCCATGATATTTAAAAATTGTTGTAGACGTTTATTATTATTATTATTATTATTATTATTATTATTATTATTATTATTATTATTATTATTATTATTATTATTATTATTATTATTATTATTATTATTATTATTATTATTATTATTATTATTATTATTATTATTATTATTATTATTATTATTATTATTATTATTATTATTATTATTATTATTATTATTATTATTATTATTATTATTATTATTATTATTATTATTATTATTATTATTATTATTATTATTATTATTATTATTATTATTATTATTATTATTATTATTATTATTATTATTATTATTATTA